GGCCTGTGTACTGGTAACAATTATTCAACAATCGGTTGGATATATTATCTGTAATCTTGGTGCTACCATCTCAAAATAAAAGCTCTTGGATGATTTAAATCCAAAGAACCAGAATAATTAAAATCTGTTTAGCAAGACCCAAATAAGAAAGTAGTAAAGATCTTTGATAATACTGTGGAAAGCTAGAAACTAGAGATCAAAAAAACTGAACAAAAACCCTGAGACAAGAAGAGTCTACCAACTTAACCACTAGAATTATATCAGAAAAAAAGGTCCTATACTATAGAATTAGAAACCAAGAAAAGTAAAATCAGAAGACACTTAAGGCCTAGATATAACAACCCATCCGAGCTAATTAGTTTGGTAGTTTGGGAGAGAACAGTATAAGAACTGGTTTGATGCAGATATCGGGATTAGAATAAATCTTATAAAAGTACCGAATATCAGAATTGTGCAGTTTAATGATTAGCTCTGACTACTAGTAGTGGTTTCAGCTACTGCAGAAGTATTCATAACCTAATCTGAAAATATATAAAATATAGAAAGATTAGAGAGTATATATTACACCACTCTAAAGCAACTCAGTAGTATAAGAACCTTACTAGGTTATCTATAGAATTAGAGCACAAGTAATATAGCAGATATCAATCTAAGGTAGTCTTCAATAAGAAGCAGCACAAGGTTATATGCTGGCGTGATTGTAGTGGATAGTATAGGATGGGGGACATCAGAGAGTTTAAATGAGTAATCACTTAATTGGGTTACAAATATAGCATATAGTATAGAACCTTTGGTGGACTACTTAAATAGGCAACTAAAAGTTGTATATGTGGCTACATATACTCTTGTTGATCAAGAATGTACTATTTAAAATATCTAATAAAAATCTGCCTTCACGTGATATTGCAAAGGTTAATAATAATAAACTAAACTATTAATATTAACATCTATAAAGTATATGAGGTCTTTCATATTAAAAGGGCTTATTTTGCAAATTTTTTGAAAAATAAGTTTTTATTAGATTTATGTAAATTTTAACATAACTGACATTTTTCAATTATAAATGAAAAGCGATTTGCATAATAAAAAATTGAGATAATTTAAAGAAAAATTGTACAAAGCTGCTTAAGGTCAAGCACAGCATGTGATTACCTGATAGTCACCTGTTACGTTTAACCAATCAAAATCATGAAATTTGCTTAATCCCGGATCAGTCCGAAAATCAAAACAAATGATTAAACTCAATTATCTCAAAATTGTTTATATTGCAAAATAGGCCTTTTTAATATAAAAGACCCCATATGTTTAAACTTGGTTGTGTATTATATTAACTCTATAAACTAGGTTTTAAACTTCTTAATATAATTTGCAAAGTAAACTATAATCGAATCACAATTTCTTAAATTATTGACTTCAATAAAGTTATTGTTATGATAATTGTTATTTTTAGATTTTTGTATCATATCAAATATTATATACAGTATATGTATATATGTATATACATATTGTATATATATAAATATGATTTGTATAATGATAAGTACTATTATATTTAGGGGTGTGGCGACTTAGTGAAGTTGGCAAGTTGTCGCACCTCTAAGCAGCAGGACTAGAGTTTGAATCCCACTGGCGATAAAAATTCGAATTTAAGAAAATGCATTTGGAAGACTGTATTCTATTAGGTTATAGAACCTATAATAGTGGTCATACCAGTTTGTACTGGGAGGTAGTGAAACATGTAGTGTGATGTATGAGTTACACAAAATCTGAGTGAAGCTACTAGATAAATCTAGCGAATTTACAGAATATAGGAGCCTGCTTGGCAAGATCCAAGTAGAGAGGTAGCACAGATCTTTGACGGTACTATGTAAAGGATTATCAACTGAAAACTGAAAAAACTGAATAGGACCAAAGTGTTTAGCAAGACACTCCACCAACCTGGCTGCTGAAGAGTAACTGGAGGAAAAGGACTTAATCATGGGAACCAAGAGCAGGTCACAGCCCTTCTGAGCTACCTAGATTAGAAGTTTGAAATAATAGGTATATAGGGGATAGTCAATATAGTGAGTGCTGAGGTTTGGGTGAACTCTATAAGGGTGGAAGTAGGTAATGGTAGCAGCCTCGGCTCGCAAGTACTTGTTCTCGAACTCAACATAAGTTACCGAAAGCCTAGATTAACCGAATTGTGGGTATGAATAACTCTAGTAACGACACCTCGAGGATAAATTAGTCCTAAAGGTATAGGTGAGAATCTGAAACTTTGTAAAGATGTAATGGTAATACAGATAAAGTTGCATTACAGAAGGTTTAATTGGATAGCTCAAGTAATAGTGGGTTATAGGTATGACATCTAGTATAGAACCTAGCAATATGTAAATACTTAATTAGGCGCTCAAAAAGTGCAGGCATGGCTAGAATGTACTCTCTAATGTACGGAGTTGGGATAAGCCCTCACTCAGTAAATACTTGAATAAAAACCTTAGTTCCAAAGAGGCTAGTTAAAGAGAAAAAAAAAAAAAGTACTATTATATTTACTTTAATATATAAATATATATAATTAAATTGTATAACTTCTAATTTAAATGATCATTATTTGTGTTATCTAACTTACAGTCTACATTTTTTTAGAGGATACTAAAATTGTTCTAACCAATTATTAAATAAATATTATTGGTACACAGGCCTATTTTTTTAAAAACACCTCTAGTAGGATTCAAACTCTAGACTTGTCACTTGGGGATAACAACTTAATTACTACTTTAAGTCACCACACCCAAGACCAAAAAATTAATTTTTATAATCTAGTATAAATATTTATTTACTTTGTCTTTAAAAGACTTGTTAATATATACATTTAATGGGTGTAGTGACTTAGTGAAGTGGTGAAGTTGTCGTACTTCCAAGTGACAAGAACAGAGTTCGAATCCCACTGGCGACGAAAATTCAAATTTTCAGTATAGTATTACAGCAACTGTGAGTGTAAGGGCAGATCGACATTTGTAACTAGGTCATATCAGCTTGTACTGGGAGACTGTGGAACAATAGTGTAATGTATGAGTTACACAAAATCTGAGTGAAGCAGTTGTGTAAATCTGAGGTTGGCGCATATGGAAGCCCGTTTGGCAAGACCCGAGTAGAGAGATAGCACAGATCTTTGACAGTACTATGTAAAGGATTATCAACCAGGAAACTAGAAAACTGAACGTGACCGAAGTGTTTGGCAAGGCACTCCACCAACTAGGCTGCTGGAGAGTAATCGGAGGAAAAGAACCCAACCATGGGGACCAGGAGCAGGTCACAGCCCTTCTAGGCCATTTGGATTAGAAGTTTGGGATTACGGATATACAGGGGATAGTCCATATAGTGGATGCTGGGGTTTGGGTAAACTCTACAAGGGCAGTAGTAGGTAACAGTAGTAGCTTCGGCTTGCAAGTACTTGTTCTCGAACTTGGCATAAGTTACCGAAAGTCTAGGTCAGCCAGATTTGTGGGTACGGAAGGCTCTAGCAGGTTTACCTTAAGGATAAAGGATTCAATAAGAGTCTGCTTTAAAGTCCTAAATCAGGTGTCTGAAAATAAAGGGGTACTATATATCCTTGCTCGATTAGATGATTAATATACATAGGCGCAAAGAGATTAAATGGGTAACTCGGTAGGGTTATAGGTACGGCAGCTAGTGTAGAACCTTCTGGGTGTTTACTTAAATAGGCAACCAAAAGTTGCATATGTGGCTAGTTGTACTCTCCAAATATGTGTACGGTTTGGTACACTATACTGTAAAAGTTAACAATAATCAAATAAAAGAAGACACCAAAAAAAATATATATATATATATACATTCAATAGCTATAATTTCTTGATAAATCTACTTGTAATAATTGCAATATTAGCATTTTTTTCATTTAATCAGTTTTTAACTGGATCTGTAAGATGACTATTAAATAAATTTATAACAAATAAAGAGCAAGAATCTATAGATAGTGGCCCTAAATTTTTTCTGTTTAGAAAATCATCTCATCTGAATTTATACATTCTTTCCTATTGGCTTGTATAACAATGCCTTGTGGAAATATTTGCTGAAATACATTTACTAATTTAAAAATAATCATAGGAAATAATTTGGTCCATTAGCTAAACTTAAAACAACTGTAAAGTTAGACTTCTTGTGACCAGTTGTACGGATTGAAACAATGTGAGCACCTGTTTCTTCAATTGTGTAATTGCTAGGTACATTAAACGTCAAGGGTGTCTCATTCATATTGCCGATGAGTGAAAGTGGATAATTATAATGCATATGGTGATATAAAATATAACTTAAAAATTCGTCTCTTTGAGGTTCTAAGTCTTCTGGTAATTTTTGTGCTATAGTGTATGATGTCTATTACTTAATTTATTGCGACACATAAAGCTCCCTACCTATTTTTCACCCCATTTGCGTTTATAAATTGTTGGATAAAGTGAAACAAAGTGTGATTGATTTGCAAGTTGTTTGGCTTTAGCCCTAACTATATGTCGAGTCACAATTTTTTGTTGTGAACGTAAAAATTTGACCCAATTTTTAAGATCAGCTTCTAAAAGCAGATACTTAGGACAAGCCACTTATTTTCGAAATGCATCATTCATTTGTTAATTTTGAAACTACCTAAAAATTTAAAAACCTAAAAACTAGAAAATTAAGACTGTACTCCCGGGACATCGCCCGGGCCTGAGAGCTAGTCTTTGGGATATAAAAAATAATTATATAAAGGTGTAATTACGTAATAACGCCATGAGCGTTATTACGTAAATATAAAGTGCATTTTATATAGTCACAACTATGTTAAAAATAAAATCTTGTACCGGTAACTAGAGTTTTATTAAACAAAAAATTTTTTAATATTAAAATTATAATGTTATATCAAGTTCTGACCTTGATTTTCTCAATCACTAAAACAAATTGACTAAAATTTTTTTTACTAAAGATAAATATTTTATTAGATATTTAAAAAAAAAGGTTGATTTTTAATATCTATAACGATTACGAGATTCTCGTTCATTGAACCGATCAAATAGTCTTCGGTCACTAAAACGGTCCCGCCCATAATTACGGTCATCATGACCGACGAACGAACGCCCTCCCCACGATCTTCCTTTATTGTTATTACCAAATCCTATCCTTGAAAGTAACCCAGGACTTATATTTGGCTCAGTTCCAAAAGCTTTACCCAATTCGTAGACAGAATCCAATAAATCATCTTTTCTGATAAAATACGAACTCATTTTTCCCGAATCTAATCAATAGATAAAATAAAGCAAAAACAGATGAGTAGGTCATATTCAACTTATAATTTCCAAAATAAGTTTAAAAGTGCTTACAATATCCGAGGAAAGCCAAGCACGCACTTCTTACTATAGAACTATCAAGCATTTCGATGGATTTCACAACTACCGAGTCTGTGCTTTTTTCCAAATCAGAATCAATACCCTCTATGCGTTTTACAGGTAAGTTATCAATGCAATTTATAAAGCCCTTTTCAAAAGGTGCCAAAAGCAATATTCCTTCCCCTTCCTTGCCCGCACGACCTGTTCGTCCTAAACGATGGATATACTGATCACGTGAGGATGGTGCACCTACTTGAACTACTAAGGTAACTCCCGGATAATCAACACCACGTGCCGAGACATCAGAAGTAACCAGAACTGCATCACGTCTCGATTGCCGAAACCTATTTGATACTCTAGTACGTTGTTCTTGAGACTTTCCAGAATGAAGCTCAAAAACTTCAACATCGCCAACATTTCGAAGAAAATCTGCGTAAAGTATAGTTGACATTCTTGTCGGCAGAAACATAATAATTTTTCCATTCTTGTGTTGTTTCATATGATCATTGATTATTTTGCGGATTGCAACGAGATGGAAATGATAAGGGATAATAGCATATGTTTGCTTTACTTGAACATTTGTGTTTACATCATTCGGATCAACCGTATCGATAAATGTGTAATCTGACTTAAGTGCAAATTTTGCAATTTGTCGGATTTGTGGTGAAACTGTGGCAGAAAATAGAAACGTTTGACGATCCTTTGGATAATATTGAATAATCCTCTCAATATCTTCACGAAATCCCAAATCCAGTAACTGATCTGCTTCATCGAGGATTAGCTGTCAGATTCAAATTCGATCAGAGAAAACGTAATTAGAAAACATGTTAATTCTAACAGCCATATCATTTCTATTAATTATGTAGAAAATTATACACACAGTTTTAATTTCCATGCATTGTCTATTGAAATGCGGAAGGCTTGATAACAAGTCCTCAACTCTTCCGGGGGTGCCAACAACTATATCAGCCCTGTGACGCATCAACCTTCTGATTTGGATATCCCTTCGTTCACCTCCTACTAAACAATGAACTTTGTAGTCATAAAAACGCGTAAGTCTCTCTGCTTCTGTTGCTATCTGTTGTGCCAACTCACGAGTCGGTGAAAGAATCATAACTGAAACCATTCTGCCGTCATTATTTTTAGGATGCGATTTTCGATGCATTGTCTCTATTGCTGGTATAAGAAAAGCCAAAGTTTTTCCAGTCCCTGTCTTTGCTTTTACAAACAAGTCTCCTTCAATCGGTGCTTGTGACAATACAGCATGTTGAACTTTTGACATAGTGATATATTTGAATTCTTCCCTCAATGCTCTTTGAGTTCTGGGTAAAATTGCTGTAATCTCGTCAAAACGGCATTCCTTTTCTTGAGTACTACTATAGGAACGGATCGTTATCAGTTGACGAGATCTAACATGAGAATGGTGGGGAAGGCTAATTGGTAATACAACCGAGCGTATGCGAGACAGGGATCTTAATAGGTTCATCTTTTAACTTTTAAGTAGTTAAGTTGACAACCAATCGGTTTAAAATTTTTAAAGAATTAAAATCGCTGAATGATTATCTAGAAAAAAAAAATTTAGAAAGTGATACAGATCATTATAAATTTTTCTGATTGGTCAATCGCTAATATTGCAGTTTAGAGTACTCTTTATGTAATCGTAATATAAATAAAAATTATTTTATCTTCGATAAAGCGCTAACAGTCACCATGCAAAAAAGAATCTTTATTACTGTTTTCAAAATGATTGATACTAAAAAAATTTTATACTTTGTATATTGGCTTAAAATCTTAAAATCGTTGATATGTCTCAACGCTTACGTCAAATATCTCTGGCCTAAGTTGAAATTTATATTTGTTGAATGTAAAAATTAAAAGTCAATTAATAAAAAGTTATCTGATTTATATAAACTTAAAGATATATGTATTTTGATCTTCTAAACAACTTTCTCCTAATAAGTGGGTCGTCTAAAGCCGTGTCCATCACGTGACCTAAAGCCAATAGAATTGTTTATTTTGATCGACACGGATCAGCCCG